CTGCCCCCAACAACTTATCCACCTTTTCATCCACAACCTTCACGTGGTAAGGCGTCGTTCTCCGGGCCTTCTGCCTAACGGGTTTGAATGAGGGATTCACATGGAGCCGATGAGTTATCACCTCGACACTTATCCCCGTTATCTCGGCCTGGGTCCACGCAAAGACATCGGCGTTGTGGCGTAAAAACGAGGCCATATCATTTCTCTTTTCATTACTGAGTGACTTTCCTACCAAAAAGTACTTCTCACCGTTATCTGGGCTCAGGAGAATCTTCACCAAGGCCTTAGTAGATAGGTCGGCCGGCTCTGTAATGGGCTAATCCACTCCCGGACGACTGCTTTGTTATTGCTATTTGGCAACCGCCGCATCGGGATCACACTCCTGACTCCGGACGCTAACTTCCATTTTCATCATGGCATAGAAATAGCTTTTCGCCGACACTTGGTCACCCCGAATTTTCATTATGCCCTGCGGTGTTGGAAACTTTATCTTCTGGTGATAGGATGAGTGGATCACTTTTATTGCATGCAACCACGATCTCCCCATAATAGCGTTGTAAGGGGAGTCAGAGTCCACAACCATAAATTCCACTGGCGTGGTCACCACCCCCACGCCATACCATGTAGGTGATTTTTTCAAGGGACAGGGCGCTGGAACCATTAAAGTCGATGAGGGGAGTTTTTACGAGTTTCAGATCTCCCTGAGAGAGTCTCATCTTGCAGAAGAGGTGATCATACATCACCTCGGAAGAACTGCCCGAGTCCACCAAGATCCTCTTGACGTCAAACTTTTCGACCCACAAAGTGATCACCAACGCATCCTCGTGAGGGAGGACCACCCCACCGAGATTAGTGTCGAAAAATTGGATAATCTCGGCACTGCTCCGCGACTTCTTGGGCGGCCGCTCATCACCCCTTTCTTCCACCCTGACTACTTGAGAGACCCTCTATAACTTGGCGCCAAGGGAGTTATATGTAGGCCTCTCCACTGTGCAGGCATGAATAACATCAATCATGGGTGCTACCTCAGCTGGCACCTCGGCTCGCTCCCTCGCCGACTCGCTCCCTCGCCGACTCGCTGGAATGACCCTTGTTGATGAATTCTCCGAGGTGTCCGTCTCGCACCAATTGTTCGAGGAAGGATTTATAAACCTTGTAATCCTCCGTCAAATGACCGATATCTTTATGATAAGAACATCGGAAGGCCGCATTCCTTGTCGACAGGTCTTCAAAATTCCTCGGGGGCCACTTGAAGTAGGGTTTGTTTTTGATTTTGGGAAGTATCCTGTGAATGGGCTTGTTGAAGACTGTGTTCACTCCCTGGAAGGATAGATGAGTTAGAGGTGGAACAGGCCTTCCCCTTTGGGTGGGCTGCTCCCTTTCCCTTTTCCTGAGCATCGTGACCCTGCTCTTGGGCGCAACGGATTCTTCTTTCACCCGGGCATATTTGTTAATCTGAGTCATCAAGTTTTTCATATCTGTCAGAGCCTTCTTAGTCAGTGATTTATACAAATCAGTGTCCCGGGACAGCCCCAGCCAAAATGACGTTGCGGCCAATGTCTCCGAACATGCTTCCACCTCATTCACTTCATCCCAATACCGGACGACATATTGTCGAAGTGTCTCTCCCCCTTTTCGCCTAAGCGTCAACAGAGCGCCGATGTCCTTCGGTTTCTTACTGCTGGTGATGAATCGAGCTATGAAGAGCTTCGTCAATTGCTTCCAGGACCTAACGCTCTCAGGAGCAAGGTTCTCTTACCACCTCATGCCTGTGTCCCCTAGGTTCATTGAAAAAATTTGGCACAACACCCTTTGGTCAATATCATAGATTGACATCAATTATCTGTATTGCCGATGGTGGCTCTTGGGATCAGTTTTCCCATCTTAGACTTTGAACCGTGGGACGGTAAACTTCTTTGGCATTGAGGCCTCCTTGATCGCGCGGACGAACGATGAGATAACTTCTTCGGAGTAGACCTCGGGCTCATGGTTGCGTTGAGCAACGAAGGGGACCCTGGGATCCTTTTTTGATCTTTCTTCTCGAGGCCTTCGGGGTATGGACTCCGCTTATGATTTGGCGACTTCGATGCCCTCGGGTATCCCTTGGCGTAGGTCTCACTTGGACAGACTTACTTTCTGGCCCGATTCTGACTTTTCCTTGGAGGCCGAGAACCCTCCTTGGCGGTTACGACCCTTGGGCGAGTGCCTAATCTAATCTTTCCTAGAGGGCTAATGCAAAAGGGGCCTGGACAGGTTCTGGCTAGGCACCTAGTCCCCGAACCTGCGACTATGTTCACCCGCGCTCGTTGACTGCTCGAAATCGTCAAGACGTTGCTGGACCTTGATGTTTTCCCTTTCAAGCTGTTTAATGCGTTTGCCCATCCATTTTTCTACTATTTCAATGATGTCATGGGCCCTGAGATCTCGCCCCCCAAGGCCCTGATCCATAGGTAGCGTTCTTTGCAAAGAATGTCCCACCTCATCTGATTGGCCCAATGAACTCGGCTCTGGAACAATTGGAAGCCGGACGGGCTCTGTGTTCCTGGCCTGTATAGTTGTTCCCTCTCCCTGAGATCGAGTGTTCACCATCAGACGATCGCTACTGGGAAAAATGCCTTCGTTTCCCACAAACGATGCCGAATTGCATAAGATAATTCCTGCAATAGTATGAGACAATGATCTTCAAACTGGCGAACCTGAAATAACAGGGTCAAAAAAGGGGGCCAGACAAGCGCCCGGCTAATCCCCTCCGAAGCTTAAGTCAGTTTAAAGTTGAAGGATTTTGCTCAATGGACTATTTTTCTGATTCAAGTTTGCGTAACTTTGTCCATTTTTTTAGGAGTATTTATACTTGAACTAGCAATGATTGCCAAAGATCTCCAGTCTCATTTGAACATCTTACATCTGACACACTATTCCTCATGCAATGAGTGTTTTCTATTCACGTCTCTTCCTATTGAATGCTAGAAAAATGGGGGTAAATGCTCGTCCAAATGCCAAGCATTCATGCCACTCCCCGAGTATCCAAATCTCCCAGATCGGCATCCAACATCAACTAAGCATTGAATACTCAGGAGGAACAGTTCCTCGGAGGAGCCGATCGCGTCATCTCGGCGCATCAGCCATTAATGCTTAGCCATCATGACAGTAGGCTTAGACTCCGAGAGGACAGGTGCTAGCAGGCTCGCATTTATTTGCCTTGTCACTTTCACTCATTCTGTCATAAATGAGGGGTCACATCGCATTAAATACGATGCCAACTGTCGTACCTGGCTGCTCAGTGTCACCATACCTCGGCTTACTTTCTCGGCGCCCTTTGGACATCCCAACAGCTTCATTATTCCATGTGTCGACCCAGGGGCTGTAGAGCCACCTAGAGTCCCACCAAAAACTCAATGGGAAAGCAAAAACATGTTGCATGCACCATCTCTTGACGGATAATTGGTTATCAAAAGCTAAGGAAGCTAACTATTGTCAAGCAATTGCCTCCAAGACTTCCCAGGATATAGGTATGGTCCTCTGACTTGCTGATCACCTTGACAACAAGGATCACTGCTTCCCATATATTCATGGCAACAATAACATAATTAGTTTGTCAGCTAAATATTTTTATCGAGAGCTCTGTTCCTTTATATCCTTTGATTCTCGGGAAGGGCCTCTACTTGGAGACGACATAGGAAAATTCTTTCGTAAATGCATTGCCATGGGATGCTTCAAGATATTGCGAATACTTGATCTTGAAGGTGTTTTTTGGCCCAAGTTACCCTACTCAATAGGGAAACTGACTCAGCTGAGTTATCTAGGATTGAGATGGACTTATTTACAGACGCTTCCTTCGGCAATACAGACAATTGATGTCAATCTATGATACTGATCAAAGGGTATTGTGCCTAGTATTTTCCATGAGCCTGGGGGACACAGGCATGAGGTGGTATGAGAACCTTACTCCTGAGAGCGTTAGGTCCTGAAAATAATTAACGGAGCTCTTCATAGCTCAATTTATCACCAGCAGTAAGAAACCAAAGGACATCGGCGCTCTTTTGACGCTTAGGTGGAAAGGGGGAAAGACACTTCGACAATATGTCGTCTAGTATTGGGATGAAGTGAACGAGGTGAAAACATGTTCGGAGGCATTGGCCGCGACGTCATTTAGGTTGGGGCTGTCCGGGGACACTGATTTGTAGAAATCGCTAACTAAGAAGTCTCCGACGAACATGAAAGACTTGATGGCTCAAATTAACAAATATGCCCAGGTGGAGAAAGAATCCGTCGTGCCTAAGAGCAGGGTTATGGTGCCGAGGAAAAGGGAAAGGGAGCAGCCGGCCCGAAGGGGAGGGCCTGTTCCACCCTCAATTTGTCTATCCTTCCAAGGAGTGAACACGGTCTTCAACGAGCCCATTCACAGGATACTTCCCAAAATCAAAAACAAACCCTACTTTAAGTGGCCCCCAAGGATGTTTGGAGACTTGTCGACAAGGAATGCGGCCTTCCGATGTTTGTATAATAAAGATATCAGCCATTTGATGGAGAATTGCAAGGTTTATAAATCCTTCCTCAAACAATTGGTACGAGACAGACACGTTGGGGAATTTATCGACAAGGGTCGTCCTGACGAGTCGACGAGGGAGCGAGCTGAGGTGAGAAGTACTTTTTGGTAGGAGAGTCACTAGGGATACTACAACCAACCCTGGCATTAAATAGTTCCCAACTCTCTTCATTACTTAATGCTCGCTTTTCAAGTACAAAACACTCAGTGGAGAATTCATGTACTGTGTTCCTGCTGTGAGTGGTGATCATGATTTTTTTACCATTGTATTGGGCCGGTAGTAGATTTTGAAGGGTAGCCCAATCTTTAGGTGTATGTACATCATCAAAAACTATGAGACATTTCCTATCTATCAAGAATTTGTGCAACAACTCCTCCATGGGTTTTGTTTTGTCCTATCTTTCAAACAATAGAAGTTGAATTGCTATTTTTAGCCGAGCTGGTTTGTCATTTAATGCCTGAGGTACACTAAACCAAGTGTGGCAATCAAAACCAGAGCGGACACTATAATAAACCTTCTGGGCAAGAGTTGGTTTCCCTATTCCTTGACGTCCAACAATCCATACCATCTTGTTGGCCGCATTGTCTGTGATCAAATGTGAAGTAAGAAGTTGCACATCTTCCTCTAAGCCAACAAGGGGCCCATCGCCTCCCACTAGTTGATCCATTCCAATTTCCCTTTGGATAAGGTCTCTGATTTGATTCCTGGTGGGCTCAAAAGTAGTGAAGAAGTTGAGTACAGCCGAAGGCGAAATGCAATTTTGCCCCGTCTTGAGGCACAAATGATCCCAGAGATCAACCACATTTTGTGTGAGTCCCAATGCCTCAACCGCAAAAATCTTTGCTACTCCAATTTCTTCTCGTCGCTCCAAAATGGTAAGTACCAGACTTAGTATTACCACGAGTCGAGCAAGTCTCCGTCGTGATTTAAATCCGACCATGAAGAGAAGAACCGCCAAAAATTCCCAAATATACCACTGCTCCTAGGTAGCTAGTCTCTTTGATAACTAGTTTCCTAGTCCACAAATGGCCCAATGTAGGCCCCTGCACCTCCTCACATTGGTTCTCCCAAGATTTTTCAGCTCCGTCGGGATCTTAAACCCAACCCTAGCATTGAATAGTTCCCAACCCTCTTCATCACTTAATGCTCGCTTTTCAAGTACAAAACACTCAGTGGAGAATTCATGTACCATGTTCCTGTTGCGAGTGATGATCATGATTTTATTACCATTGTATTGGGCCGGTAGTAGTTTTTGAAGGGTAGCCCAATCTTTAGGAGTCCGTACATGATCAAAAACTATGAGACATCTCCTATTTATCAATAATTTGTGCAATAACTCCTCTATGGGCTTTGCTTTGTCCTTTCCTTCAAACAAGAGAAGCTGAATTGCTATTTTTAGTCGAGCTGGTTTGTCATTTAATGCCTGAGGTACACTAAACCATGTGTGGCAATCAAAATGGGAGCGGACACTGGAATAAACCTTCTCGGCAAGAGTTGTTTTCCTTATTCCTCGACATCCAACAATCCATACCACCCTATTGGCCGCATTGTTTGTGATCAAATATGAAGTAAGAAGTTGCACATATTCCTCTAAGCCAACAAGGGGCCCATCGTCTCCCACTGGTTGATCCATTCCAATTTCCCTTTGGATGAGGTCTTTGATCTGATTCCCAATGGGCTCAAAAGTAGTGAAGAAGTTGAGTACAACGGAAGGCAAAATGCAATTTTGCCCCGTCTTGATGCACAAATGATCCCAGATATTAACCACATTTTGTATAAGTCCCAACGCCTCAACCGTAGAAGTCTCTACTACTCCAATTTCTTCTCATCGTTCCAAAATGGTAAGTACCAGACTTAGAATTCCGACAAGTCGAGCAAGTCTCTGTCGTGATTTAAATCCGACCATGAAGAGAAGAACCACCAGAAATCCCCAAATATACCATTGCTCCTGGGTAGCTGATCTCTTTGATAACTCATTTCCCAGTCCATAAATGGCCCAAGATAGGCCACTGCATCTCCTCACATTGGTTCTCCCAAGATTTTCTAGCTCCGTCGGGACCTTAAACCCAACCCTGACATTGAATAGTTCCCAACCCTCTTTATCACTTAATGCTCGTTTTTCAAGTACAAAACACTTAGTGGAGAATTCATGTACCGTGTTCCTGTTGCGAGTGGTGATCATGATTTTAATACCATTGTATTGGGTTGGTAGTAGATTTTGAAGGGTAGCCCAATCTTCAGGGGTACGTACATCATCAAAAACTATGTGACATCTCCTATTTATCAAGAATTTGTGTGACAACTCCTCCATGGGCTTTCTTTGTCCAGTCCTTCAAACAGAAGTTGAATTGCTATTTTTAGCCGAGCTGGTTTGCCATTTAATGCCTGACATACACTAAACCAGGCGTGGCAATCAAAAAAAGGAGCGGACACTATAATAAACCTTCTGGGCAAGAGTTATTTTCCCTATTCCTCAACGTCCAACAATCCATACCATCCTGTTGGCCGCATTATCTGCTATCAAATGTGAAGTAAGAAGGTGCACATCTTCCTCTAAGCCAACAAAGGGCTCATCGTCTCCCACTGGTTGATCTATTCCAATTTTCCTTTGGATGAGGTCTTTGATCTAATTCCCAGTGGACTCAAAAACAATGAAGAAGTTGAGTACATCGGAAGGCGAAATGCAATTTTGCCTCGTCTTGAGACATAAATGATCCCAGAGATCAGCCATCGTTCGGGTGAGGCACAACGCCTCAATCTCAAAAGTCTCTCCTACTCTAATTTCTTCTCATCGTTCTAGAATGGTAAGTACCATACCTAGAATTCCAATGAGTCGATCAAGTTTATGTCCTAATTTAAATCCAGCCCTACAAAGAAGAACCTCTAGAAATCCCAAAATATACCACTGCTCCTCGGTAGCTACTATCTTTGACAACACGTCTCCCAGTCGAAAAATGGCCCAAGGCAGGCCCCTGCACCACCTCACAATGGTTCTCCCAACTTTTCCCAGCTCTGTCGGGATCTCAAACCCAACCCTAGCATTGAATACTTCCCAACTCCTTTCATCACTTAATACCCACCTTTCAAAAATAAAAGGATCTGGGATACCATATTCTATGCCTCTATTGCTAGTAGTGATAATGATTCTACTCCCCCAGAGTAAACAGGTTGGTAATAGTCTTCGAAGGATATTCTATGCTTCAGTTGTCCTTACATCATCGAAAACAATGAGATATGTCCTTGCTTCCAAGAAATAATGAAGCATCATGGTTAGCGACTCCAAGGACTCTGCTTGTTTCAATCGGTCGAATGGCATAACTTATGATGCTATATTTAAGAGAACCCATCTTCTACTTAACTGCCGAGGTACACTCACCCAGGCGTTGCAACAAAAACTCAGGCAGGCAAGGGCAGTGTGATAAACCTTGTGGGCAAGAGTGGTTTTCCCTATTCCTCTTGGTCTGACAATAAATACCATAATAGAAGTCGTCCTACCAACAATCAAGGGTAAAACAAGATGCTTCACATCTTCCTGTAAGCCAACAATTGGCCCATCTTCTCCGAGAGAAAGAGGAGGACCAAATCCGGTTGTCCTTTTGATGAGGTCTTTGAACTTTCTCTCAATGGATTTGAACTCCTTCATGAAGCAGAGTGTAGCAGAAGGACAGTCTTCAATGAAAAAGGGACCTAGACCCTTTGGAGAGGCAAACAAGCGCAGAGTTCAACTACTTGTAGAGTGAGTTCCACAGCCTCAATCCCAAAAGTCTTAGTTGTTCCCACTTCTACAGGTTGTTCCAGAATAACTAGTACTTGATCTAGTATTCTAACTATTCGGTCATATGTCTTTGAGATACCAAATTCCCTCTTGTTGGAATTATATTGATACCAAACAAAATAGATAAAGTCCTTGGGTTTTTTGTTTCTCAGCTGTTGGGTCGTCCACACCTTCTTAATTTTCTTCCTCTAGATAAGGGAGATTGGAAGCATAATGACTCTGTTGGGATGGTTAAAAATGGGAACAAATTATAGACGATGGTGGCAAGAGAGAGAGACAGACATGCAAATGGAGAGACCTTTGGGCGTCCAAGAAACTAACAAGCTATTTAAAAGCGCAGCCGTTGCCGTTGTCGTTACCTCGGAAGCATCCTAACGTCTTGGTCAGTGAAGCACATACTTTGGTGGTCGATGCCCCCTCATTTCTCGTCGCGTTAACGTGCACATCAAATTTCCACTCTCTTTCACAGATTTCATTTGCACTAATAAAAATAGTGAAATCAATTTTTTTTTATCTAAATTAAATAAGAGATGTACAAAACTCAATCAGCCAAAAATAAAAATAGATAATAAAATCGAAACACAATTTACGTGTTCTCTAAACCCGAGGTATGTCCAACAATGCCGATCTCAACCTTAAACTACATGCAATTAGCCTAACAAAAAAAGGTTTAGTTTATTACCAAGTCATATTTCAGGGTTGTGAAAGCGATCTAGACACGGTATAGTCATATGCAAGTTTACTTCTTTGCAAATCTGCTTGGAACAAACTGTAGTTTCTATGTTACTTGTTCAACAAAAAAAGTTTAAGGTAGTGTTATGTAATATTGTTTGTTTGGAGTTAAGTCTGTCCAAATTTAAAACACATTATAGAATGTCCAAAATTCAAATTTATAAGATACTTCAAACACAGATCACCACGCCACATAAAACAAAATTCATGAACTTAATATCTTCATCTTACCTCATCCATCTTGGTCCCAAACCTAAAAAAGTCTTTGCTCTTGGATCTGGCCAACACAAACCTCTCTCATATAGCCACGCATCCTATTCCTAGTCAGAAATATGATGAAATTATGGCCATGTTTAGTTAGCTTTCCTGAAATTGTTTTTTGTTCTCAAAATTTTAAAAACACCCAAAACCTCTTTGTTTAACATTTTTGTTCTCAAAATTTTGAGAAAAAAATGAGATTTGAGTCAAAGAAATAGAAAACAAGTCTAACTTATTTTCGGAGTATTCTTTGAAAATTTTGAAAACAAGAAGAACAATTTTGGATTTTAATGAGGTCTGCCATTTAAGTCTCCCTAACAGCAAATTTCTTCATTCTTTTTTTTTTCCTTCTTCCTCTCTCTCATAATATATAATATATATTATATTATAATCTATTATATTATATATTATATATTAATATAATATTATTAAATATAATATATATAATATAATATATATTATATTATAATATATATATATATATATATATACATATATACATATAAGTATATATACATATTATATATTCATATATACTTATATATATATATATATATATATATATTATGAAATTGTGAATATAAAAATAAATGTTTTAGATTTTTTTATTAATGTTTGAATTACTGTTCAAATATATATTTACGCTGTCCAAACAGGTTTTACTATTTTCTGTATTGTAAAATTGTTTTTGAAATCATCTAACCAAACAAGTTTTTTATCTCAAAAAATATCAAAACCAGTTTCTTAAAACTCTTATCAAAAACTGTTTTCAGATACTAGCTTTTGAAACGCAAACCAAACAGACCCTATATTTCTTATTCTTTCTGGGGACAAATGTATTCTAATGGGAGCAAGAATAATAAATTTAAGGATTGTATACCCAAAATGTTATGATGTAGTCGAAAATTAATAATTCCTCTATTTGACAGTATAATCGGGAATTAGATGTTATCAGCAACAAACCATCAGGGGTTGAAATTATTATTTTTCAAGCAAGAGGGGATCCATTTGATTAACCAATAAATCTTAGGAAATGTAGGGGACCCAAGAGAAAAACCAAGAAAATTAGGAAATTTTGATGTAATTATCCAATGAGAAAAATGTTGCATTCTAGACGCAATATAGTCACTTGAAAGTTTAGGTCATTCTAACTTTGCCTTGTACTTGGCCAAAAAAAATTTAAAAAAAAAATCAAAAGTTGTCTAAGAATGTGATTAAACAATGACACATTAGGGGTGAAAATTTATTTTTTTCAAGAAAGTGATTAACAAATAAATCTTTGGAATGTAAATGTATTTGACCCAAGGGAAAACCAACAAATATTGAAAAATCTAGATTTAATCGACCCTAGAGAAAAAAGTTGCATTCCTTGATAGAATTATTTGCACAGGAAGACTAAGTCATGCATTTGCAGTTACGTGGAAAGTCACATTTGGGGCTCATTTACCTTATTCCTAATATCCCTAAAACCAATCAAGACGCCATTTAGTCACGATCCACTACATGTTTACTTTCTTACATTTTAATATAAATGTTCTAATATTAATATATTTCATTTGTGTAGGCTACCATGGGTACATTGGATGGTATCATAGACACAGTCTCTGCTGATCATCCTTTCTTTCCATTGATTGGTATCTTGAAGTCACATGGAGCACCAAACAAGCCACTTAAGCTACCAGTCTTTCCTTTACTTATGGTTAAATATCCTGATATCCCAATTAATTCTGTTTAAAGATGTAGTAAACATGACAGGGTTTAACATAGCTTTGTAATTGCATCCGTAGGCATTACAATTCATGTTCTCTGTTTGTCCAAGTAGTCCACTTTTGTTAAACATTTAAACATTTGAAGCTAACTAGGAGTATGGATGTGGCAGGGAGGAAGATAGTGGCCGGTAGTACCATTGGAGGGATGAAGGAGACACAAGAAACGACTGATTTTGCAACAAAACACAACATAAGAGCAGATGTTGAGGTTATACGAATGGACTATGCCAACACTGCCATAGATCCTCTTGAGAAAGCTGATGTTAGGTACTGATTCGTGATTGACGTTGGAAGCACCTTGAAAGCAGTCATGTAACTATGGGGTTCAATGACACCTCACTTCCAGTGCTGGAACACCAGTCAGTTTTACTTGGATCACATTTTCCATGCACTGCCTGGTCACAACATTTTTCCCAAAGTTTAACAATTTAAATCAAACATGTTTGTTTGCTGCAGGCTTAATTCTTCGGATAATAACATTCTTTTCTACTTAACTTCCTAGTCCAAACTATCATTATGGTGAGGTAAATCAAAAATAAAATATATGTTATGCCACTTTGTTTTGCAGCCCATGATTTGATACAATCTCTGTTTTGTGATTGAATTTTTAGTGTATACTAGCATTTATTAATTTTAGGTGATTAGCAGTGTGACGCCCAAAAATCTGGGAGTCCATTGATTACCCATCAACCCGTGGAATACCCATAGATACCAAGTAACTCGATATCGCGTCATTATGCCCCATTTATCGGGGTCCATAATTTTAATGAAATTTGGGCAGAGTCTCCTTTGTACAGGGAGCTCTACCCAAAATTTAACCTGTACAATATACATTCACATGACCCATCTGAGACCCAATATAAAATAATGATCGCACTTGGTCCATTTATGAGTAAATATTGACCACACCAGGTCCATTTATCCATACTCATATAGATACATGCAAGGTTATATTAAAAATAGTCAATATAAGTTCGATTACAATTCTTTTACGTACATTACATGCCCAAAACTAACTTTGCAAACATTAGTACAAAAAAAAGACTAAAAGCCGCAAGTTGGCCTCTCTTTACCCTTGAGACTCCAAATGAGAGCCGTTCACCAATGTATATCCTGCACTTGANAGCCTCTCTTCACCCTTGAGACTCCAAATGAGAGCCGTCCACCAATGTATATCCTGCACTTGAAAAATTTTCCCGTATTAGGTGAGTTACGCTTGATAGAGTATCTCCTACAGAGGCTACTCCCCAACTTAGATGCATATGAAATATGAACATGCAACAATTAACAACCATTATCCATTCCAAACAAGAATATGTAATTCAAGATTGAAATTTTACCATGTTATGTCATGATATGAGATGATACTCACTCATGCAACTTCAACCCGAGTCCTCACCGACTCCCACAACACGATGCAATGCACATGTGTAATAAATCCGTCACTTGATGAAAAATACATCCAATGATTGTTTGAAATAAAAGTGATGTATTTATAAAATCAAATCATTGTGAATGTTACCCATTGAATGGGTATTTTTTTATAAAACAAAATCTTGTGCCTTTGTTGGGCAACGGATTTTGGTATCACAACCTCCGGTTTCGTACACCATCACACTTTTCTGGAATTTTACCTCAGGAGAGTGTGTGAACCAAGTAGTCAGGTTTTGCACCCGAGGGAGAATCTAGCCCTTCTTGCAATACCCGACACAAGTTTTTCGTGCATGTAACCGTACGACTCAGTCGAATCTTCAATCCAACTTTTTTGAGCCCACCCATCAAGCACCAAGTATGGTGTTTGATTAAACCATGCACCCACACACCTACACTCATGACTCATGCCCATGAATGTAATGCCAATATCTTGTCCAATATGCATTAATGTCAAATGAGTAATTTAACCACATATCCACATGTTCCATGACAATTTAAATCATATGCATATAATTACCAAACTTTGTCACAATGTCAATAAACATATATCAACAACAATTTACCAACATGTTATCACATAATCCATTTCATTCATAAGGCACCAAATAAACACATAGCATGCCCACTAATACCAAATTCCAAGAAATTACACAAGCAACTTCCATACATCAACCCAAGCTAGAAATTGATTAAAGTCATTTCTATACCCATCTCCACCAAGACAACAACAATAGACAAGTGACATATAGTTCTATACACCTACCCATTTCATATCACATTCGTAACACACTTAATTTCACATAGGTATTTTATCAAACATCTTCAAGGCACCATATCATGTAATCACATAAAATGCCCAAATTTATCACATAACTCAAAAAAAATCAGAATAAATGATTTTCAAATATCCAATTATCAAAACTTCTAAGAAATCACAAACTAGCAATTTCTAATTATTAATTCACACTAGAATTGAGCTTACTCATTTTCATTAAATCAACTATAATAGACAAGTGTTAAAATACACAAAACAGCTCACACATTCCCTATGGACACCATAGGTTAGAAATAAACCAAAGTAGAAGGGAACCCTACCTCTTGAAGCGTAAAACACCTGTAGGAAGCTTCAAGAACACGATTCAAGCCCAACACTTTGATTTCTCCAAAATTTCCCCTTTGGATCTTCGACGAAATTTTTGATTTTTGGTATGGTCTTGTAGCCCACGTCGAGGAGAACACTTTTTGTTCTTGATCCAAGTTGATTCGACAAAAGCATGGCCCTAGATCGCAAGAAGAAAGGCCAACGTTCAGACCAGTAGAGAAAATCAGTGGGAAAATCAGATTTCTCTACCTATTTATAGTCCTAAAACCCTAGGCTCACAATGCGCCACACGACTTCTATTTTCAGGTCCATTTTCGCCTCGAAACAATTAAATTTCGTACCGGTTTAAGCTCAAAATATTTTATATGAACTTTATTTAAAATATTTCCCAACTTAAATTTTTATAAAAAATTCGTTTTTGGGGGTCACCAGACACCCGTCGCCTTGAAAAACGTAAAAAACCTGACAATCTCAGAATTCGACGAAATTTGTCTAGGTAACTAGATTGCGCGAGACGAATCCAACAGTGAAATCCGTTTCATCGTCTGAGCTCTAGAAAAATTTAGGTTTGCAACCCGTATCGTGATGCCAAATAATAATTTCACAAAGTTCCATAGTAAACATAATATAAGTTGTCAATAGTAAACATAATATAAGTTGCGTTTGTAACCCAATTTTACAATAATTTTATTTATTTTTTCTTTGTTCATAAAACTCATGCAAACAAGTGCCTTTTTTTGTTAGAGCACTATTCATCCATTTGTTACATTCACCATTTAATCAAATGATTAAGCTTTTAAATACACTATAAAACACCATACACAATTTCTTGAAAAACATAAGGGGGAATATGATATTTTTTAAATACTTAAGGTGGGTTATAATGTTTTTTTAAAATTTTATAACAAACTGTCATGACCCCTCTCTTCACCTTCCATGAAGTTCATGAGAATCTCCATTTTTAGCAGTTTCAATGGTTCCTAAGCTACTTCACATTCGGAAGTAGAAGAAAAACTCTTGGCAGGAACTCCACTGCAGCTGTGACGTTGCTTCGTCTGCACTAGCTCTTTAATGATGGTGTTTGACTTGTTGAGAAGCCAATTATGGGTATTACTTGCTTTGTTGCAACTCAAACATGTGTTGAAGATCAAAGAACTTACAAGCTATTTCGATCGACAGCCTTACTGTCCAATCCCTTGGACCTTGAGCCAAAAGTTCAAGCATATAACCTTGATCAACATATGTTGATCAAGGTTATACTATACGTAGCATTTAACTTCTAAGTTTCAGTGTATAGACTTCTTGTCACACCCCCATCCCGAATCACATAGGTTGGGTGACGGACTGGCCACCAAGACCTTAACCAACTAACCTTGTGCATAATAAATGCAAAATACAACGAAAGACAAATAATAAAGTGATCAAATCCATTAACCTAATAAATACCAAATGAGTAAACTAAATATCACCAACATCATTATTAAACTCTTGTAAAACAATAACTAAACCATAAGGTTCACTACTCTAAAGTCTAAACATGAGCAACATTATTCCCAAAATAATTAAATATTTGTCTCAAAACCATAAAAAATATTTATTCCTGAAAACCTACAATCAAATAAATCTTCAATTCTTCTAATCATTTGTCTATCCGAGGACTTACTCTTTCCCCTGATCCTCACTTGAAAAATGTTAAATGATTGGGTGAGCACAAAGGCCTGTGAATAGCAACCACCTCTAATGAGGTGTGAAAATAAATCCCACATTTTATATGCAAAAATAAACTTTGTAATAAACATAAGTATAACAAATTATACATCAATCCCTTCCACATAATCATGTAAACAAAATGATCTCATGATCATAAATAACTTTATAAAAACGAAGACATTTATAACTCAAACACCTACTCATGTTCACAAATAACTTTATAAATGAAAGACATTTATAACTCAAAACACACACACACATTTACTTTCAAATATATTTGTCAAATTATATTTGTTACCACTAGCCTGGTAATTAGCCCCGTCTCTTGTCATTACTAGCCTGATGACTGGCCCCTATGTACACATCCTCATACCAACCACACCGGTATACAATCTCGTTATCACTCAAACCTGGTAACCCAGTCCTCATTTCATAAACATGATTTTCATGCACACCAAAACTGTAGTTATAGTCCCAACGCACACAAAATTTCCTTTTCATCATCAAAACAATGAAATAAAATCATCCCACAAGTTTTTCAAAATTCACATGTATAAAAATTTATAATTTTAAAATATTTAATTACAACCATAAACATCAACACAAATATCATATATATGAAAAATTCACACGCACGCACCCACACATTTAATATAGAAAATCCTCCCAAAAGAAGTAGTAACTACTCACCTTGATTTCCAAAATCTAATTTAAAGCACTCTTTCCCAACCTTAATGCAATTACCATCTAATCCAAAACTAACATATAACAATCAATTCCTTTTTTCCTAATTTCGTCGTTTCGCGATTCTATATTTAATTTTTATACTTCCTACTTATTGATATATATTTAATATATCTTTTACATATAAATATCCTTTCTAATACGAGGTAATAGGATATGGAAGTATTCAGGGTTGTTTAGAAAAAGTTTCTAAAATTTTGGGATCAAATTATAATTTTTAAAACTTTTAGGATCAAAGTATAATTTTGAATACTTTCCAAGGCTCGATGGCTGTTTTCAAAACT